TAATATATTGAATATATCCTATATAAAAATATTTCAATAATAAAATGTCAAATATCTATAAATATTGTGATGGAATCTCTCAGTTTATACAAAAAACCTATATTTATAATATATATATTTTTTTTACTTTTTGCATGTTAAAATTTATTTTAGCCACAGCAATTTAATTTATTTTTAATGCTTATTTTCAATAAAAATTAAATTTTTTCAAAATATACAATCCCTACATATAATGCGTTCCTTCATGTATATAGTTTTTCTTCATTGATTTTCTATTCAATTTTTAATCAATTTGTACATTGAAAAATATGTGAAGCTAGCAGCATTCTTCATGCATTAAAATATGCAAAAATACGAGACGAGCGTACTCTCCGCTCGCCAGAAATAAACTGTTCGCAAAAATTGCAGAATTGCATTGCAAGACTGAAGAAAAGCGCTGTCCCTGATGGGAGATCAGAAAACTTGCTAGAATGTAAGAACGTCTCCCGGGATGTCTTTCTCACGTTTTATTTTCACGAAGGCCAAGCCTTGCAATAGTAGCAATGATGCCTAACATGTGTACTCGTTTTTTCTGCTTCTCATGTTTAATAAGTTTTTTTTAACATAATGTAGGAAAATTGACGACAATCATCAATAAGATTAATTCCTATACAAACTTTTTATACATGGATTTTCATAAAAATAGAATTTTAAAATTAAATAATAATAATAGCTAAAATTTATAAAAATAAAATTGTTATGCATATATAATAACTATACATAAATTATAGCTATTATAATAAAAAATAATGTTTTTGTTAAATAATGATTTTTTAAAAATAATTATTGTCATTGTGTTTGTGTCAAATTCAGATGTAAATGTTAAACCATATATATACTGCTTTTTAAAATAATACACATTTGTATATATGTATATATCTTGAAATTGATAAATGATATAGATAAATGCATTATAAATTATATTGTATATTGATATATCTAAGATAATTTTATGTGACTTATGGAATACAAATACAATATAACTGTGGCAAATAACGCAGAAATATATATTTATAGAAAAATCAGATGATGAAATAAAAATATCGGCCTGTAACAAATATTGCAACAAACAACATAGACTGCAGTATGGAAAGATGCAGAAAAACCGACAACAAAACGCTCTTCGCGTGTCGAGAGTTTAAAGAAGACATTTACATTTCGTCTCATATTGAAACGTTCAATTCGTTTGTTCGATTTGTGAGATTCATGAATTCCTATATGCACCATCGAGAAAGTTGTAACGAGCTGACACGGCGAATTGGCATACGGATTTATGCAAATGTATTCACGCAAAATACGAAGAAGGAAGCGAGAATTATGGTCAAGCGAATTCGCGTGAAAACGCATATTATGCGCATCATTATTATAATAATTTATAATAATTTTTCCAACGCTAATAAGCGCGTTTGCGACGTGTGGAGTTTATTATCTATTTATCCTCGGACAAAATAATAACTTTGTGAGTGCATATGCATATTGTTAAGTTTTTAGAAAATTTAAAACTATTTTCATGAATAGTTTTCATGAATAGAATATATTTAGAGCTATTTCCGTCACGAAGATGAAAACGACATAAATTCTAATTTATAGAAATAGAATGCGATTGTGCAATCGGTAAACGATGATACCCATTTTGATGTTTACTGCTGATATGATTGCATGGTTTTTGCAAAAAACAATAATTTATTATTTTATATGCGAATATCGAACATTCATCACATGACGTAAAAATAATAGCTGTTAATATATGGTGATTGCAAAATATATATGAATATATTGATGCGAGAAATCTCATCTACAATTTCAGAGAGAAGCGTAATAATAAATCATATACTTATGACGGGAAAAAATTTAATAGAAATATGAATGATACACTTATCGCGAAAAATAATAAGAAAATTATTAATTAATGTCGAAATAAATTAAATGCAAATGCAATTCCATTAACGTATCGTAAATCAATTTCTGTGGAAATGTATTTTCGTGTGACGATCATTCTAAAATGCGGAAAGAAAGCGCACACTCGATCCGCTCGGTCATTAAGTCTTGTTTGTGTACTTTAATTACTTCAGTCAGCGTCTCCTCTTTCAATTTGCGCTCACTTTCTAGTTTGGGCTTCGAAATGATTTCGACCCATCGCAATTTCGGCACAAAATAGAGATCTACGTCAGGAATGTATACGCACATAGGAGGTCACGGTTGGTTCCTATACCAGCATTCGAGTCACCATGCATATCAATTCCACGCTGCAATCCATCAAGCATTGAAATCTTCCCCACTGTTATTGCAAATGTTTCGCATAGATATTTTCAAGAATGTGGCGAAAAATAGTAGAAGATACATTTTAAACAATCCATCTTTAGAGAGAAAAATAGTGACTCTTCTACATTCTACATTATATCGGCACATCACGGTGATAATAATTGTTATGTAGTTGCACGAATCAAATATTTTAATTGTGATTAAAGACATATTGAAATTGGTAAGATTTTATTCTTAAAAATACGAAAAATGGATGTTCAAGGATATGTAAAAAATGATAAAAAAATATAATACTAAAGTCTTACATTAGTTGCGAAAATATTCATATAAAACTTGTTAATAAATAACACATTAACATTTTTTACTTTTGCTAATTATTAATATAAATTGAAAATTCTTCTTATCATGGATGTTAAATAAACCGGATAAATGCATATACATATATAATATCAATTTGCTTTACAGCTCTCAACTCTCAGAATATATTTATCGGAGATATTCAGCCAGTTTCACATTTGCTGTTTATATAAATAAAAAATTGGATTACCTTTACAGAAAAGGCCACTCTACTTGCGATTCGCAAAAAAATCTACTCGGTCGAAAACAAGTCGGATTTGAAAACGAGAATTCGTTGGGCACTCAACGTTCTCGTGACCGTAGAATATGTTACACGAGAATATGGTGCAGCCAAATGCAATTTGAAAATTACCTCGGGCGTGGCGATAATTTAACTTACGCCGTTCGCCGACATACTGTTACGTGTATTTTTGTTGGACATTTTTACTTTGCTCACGAATTTTGCTGTTAGAGCAGCTATTTATGATATGAGACATGAGACACGAAAATATGTGTAGGAAAAAAGATACGAAGTGAGAGTACACTATATAAAAAATATATAAAGACGATATTTCATTAACCGGTGAACAAGATATTATTTTAAAATATGTATTTTCGACTTAAACGTATGTATATTTTTTAGAAAACAAGAATATTTTTTTAAAAAAGAATATTTTATACAAATTCATTAAAAATGTACAAAAAAGGATGGCAAAAGATGTTTTTTAATTAACAACATGATTCTAAAAAATCTCACTCGTGCTTATTAAAGGCAGCAAAATGACGTTATATATTTTAGTATGTACTAATGAAAATCGTTCATTCGGGATCAACAATATCAAGTATATGATTTAGTGTAACGAGAAGCGTCTTTTAGCAATGACTAGTCAAGCGTGTCGATGTCTGCTCGCACGAAGGATTTTTAATGCGATTTACTGCGGCAACTCGTGTCCCCGACAATAAATATCGGTTATCGGGCTTTCAGCCGCGGAATATCACGCGATGTATCGAGTGTCATGGAACGAAGCATGACGCATGGCGAGCAAAATGGTGTTGTCATATATTAAAGAATTATGATCTTAATCATACTGTGTATGTGTACAGATTGCATACGCATACAACGTAATATCTTGTTACAATAAAGTTCCACTATATTTTTATTCAGTAATTATCAATATTAAAAACTTTATATGTATATATATATATATATATGATTTAAAGCTTTCATTTTTTGCGTGCATTATATTAAAAAAAATTTGTAGTAAAACATTTTAAACCTCCACTATAAATCCACAATAATATTTGTGAAACAATTGAAGGTAATATATTTTTAGAAATTAAATCATTCATATCAATATCTTTTCTTTTAATAATTGTCAAAATTACGATAATTTTTCTAGCATTTTTGCAACAAGATGCTTTTTCAATATTTTTTACTAATCTTTTGATATTTATATTTTTTTAATAAACGCGAAAATTTTTGCAATTTAATTTGTTAAAGATTTCTCATTTTAAGAGTTAATGATAAAATTTTTCAACGTATCGCAATTTTATACAGTCGACGAATTTACAACTAGATACAATAATCGTTAAATAATTTTTCCCTGAAAAATAATCTTATTAGAATATCACTTACTAATCTTTTTGTCTTTTTCTTTTTCTCTCTGGAAACTCTTAAAATCCGCGTGCGAGAAAAATTAATTAAAGTTTCTACATTCGCTCGAAACTACTCTTTCGTAGTTTTCTCGGACGGAACTCTTTTTCGCGGAATATCCCGTTCTCAACAGTTTCCTTAATTAACCTTGTTCTCATTGGATTCCCATAACTAATCTATCCGTAATATATGTATAAAGATGCGCATTACTATGTATTTATTAATTTATATAAAAGGTATATACACATAATAGATATATACACATAATAGATTATTCTTTTGTATTCGAGAACAAATTGTATAAGTAGAAATAAAGCTCATTAAAATGAGATTAATTAGAAGAAAGAATTAACTTTTCACATTTTTGCGAATAATCTTCGCTAAAATCTGTATCACAAATACTTATAATTTTCAACTTTGCAAAAAAATTATACTTCTTATCACATATTTTATATTTCAGTAACAATTGTTTTACAAATGAAAAATATGACCAATCAATTTTTTTAATTACCATTAATTTATTTCTGTTCAGAATTTGTTTTTAATAACAATCTCGATTACACCTATCAATCTATATAACATTTCAATTTAATATTATTATGATAATTCAATATTGTAAGATTAATTAGTTGCTCGAACTGTCAACATTTAATGGCTTTGTTACAGTTGAACTCAATTTAATAGAAACTATTGATGTTTATGCTTTCAGAAGTAGTATACGATTTAATGGAGGCGACAATGTCATCAATGACGATGACGGACGATGACAATATTTATATAGATGACGGTCTGGACGGATTCCCGGCGTTTGGCTTCCGATCTGGCTCCGAGGTGAAGCAACCACACATATTGTACCTCCCGGAAAAGTTGCCAGCCGAGTTCACTCTAGTGGCCATATTTAAGCCGACCTCTTTCCGGACGAGCTACCTCTTTGCCGTTCTTAATCCCTTCGAAACCGTCGTCCAATTGGGCATTAGAATTTCGGTAAGCGTATAATACTTATCTTTTTAATCTCTAACTTTTTCTGTAACTATTACAACGACTAATTATTCCTGATTCGACAAGATATTTCTTTCATAAAATTTTATACGATTTTATTAAAGTATATGAACGAGTATGACATGAATAATAGTATAATATTGAAGAAAATATACCCGAGATGAAAAAAGGAGCAAATGTCTTGCAGAAACGAAAGGATGTGTGTGTGAATGTAAAATAGGACGTTATTTAATATAACATCAATCAAATTAAAGAAATCCGTTTTAATAGTTGGGTAGCTTTTATTAACTATTTAATGTTTTGGCAATGTAATTGCGATATTCTTATTCTGTCTGTAATAATATTTATAAATGAATAAAATGGAAAAGAAATAATATATTATAAAAATAACATTATATATATATATATATATATATATATATGTTATTTTTATATATTATCCCTCCATAAGTTTGGAAACACTTTACATTTTACAGTTAAACGATCATATGGCAGCGACCTGTGTAGATTTTTGTATCAATAAATCGTAAAATATTTAAATGACATTTTTATTTATGACAGATCACTGCCATGCGATTGTTTAACAGTAAAATGTAAAGTGTTCTCAAATTTGTGAAAAGTACTGTGTGCAATAAATAACAAATGTCCATTTATAAGACTATTTCTTGTTAACACGATTAATAATATTTCAAATAATATACTGATAAAAAACATTCCATTAAGTTTATATTCTTGCATGTTACGAATATCTAATTAAAGAATATTTTTTTAGAGAATTTTTCTCTTAAATTAAGATGATCCTTTTGACAGATTTGTGCAGATTTTTTGTATAAATAATAAATCATAAAATAAACATCAAATATTTAAATGACGTTTTTATAACAGATCGCTGCTATGCAATTTTTTAACTATAAAATGTAAGGTGTTTCCAAACTTATGAAGGGTACTGTATATATATATATATATATAATATTTATATATATATATATATATATATATATATATATGTGTGTGTGTGTGTGATGGTGTGACATAAAATTTCTTGTAGTAATTTTTTAGTTACTTATATTTTAATTCTAATTATTATTTAATTAAAAAGTGCTTACAGTAGTGCAGTAAAGCAGTTATTATTTTATATTTTTATAATATATGAATTTATATCAACAATTGATATGTTGAAAACGCTCTTTGAAAATGTACTCTGTACTGTAATATTTTAAAGGATATTTCCTTTTTTATGGATTTCCATCTTTAGAACTTATTTTGAATCACGAAGTTATCTTATATGATAATCTTCACTAAACGCTATCTTCTATTTTCCGATTCTCTTTCTCTCGATAGTATTGCTTAATCTTAAAATTTCTTCTCGCGCCCTTTTCAAGAACCATTTTCGTAACATGTCACGTACATGCTACGAACGATAAGCAAAGCGAATTACTTTGGGCATTTCTAGAAAGCTTCGATATTCGGGAATATTTTCAACTATCGGGAGCTTCAAAATATCAAATTATAAGACTATTTTTTATAGTTTTATTTATTTATTTATTTATTGTTTTATTTGTTTATTTTAACTATCCAATTTTGCAACTCTTTCTGCTTTTTCAAAAATATCTTCTCAACACATTTCATTTATTATCTAATGCATTGTGTGAAAAAAAATTTTTATCAATAATTAATTGCTTAATTCACATTTAAGCAAAGCTGCATTTTAATAATTATAAAATTTACATATAATTAGAATATAAAATATCAAACTAGATCCACGAGAGTTTCACATTTTCTTGTTATGCTCTCAGGATGGATCGGCCTCGAACCAAAACATCAAATTATAAGACTATTTTTTTTATTATTTTGTTTACTTATTTATTGTTTTATTTATTTATTTAAGCTATCCAATTGTGCAACTCTTTCTGCTTTTTCAAAAATATCTCTTTCTCAACACATTTCATTTATTATCTAATGCACTGTGCGTGCGAAAAAAAATTTTTATCAATAATTAATTGCTTAATTCACATTTATGCAAAGCTGCATTTTAATAATTACAAAATTTACATATAATTAGAATGTAAAATGTCAAGCTAGATCCATTTTCTCGATTATGCTCCCAGGATGGACCGGGCTCGAACCAAAACATCTCGCTTGTCTATACAAACTCGGACGAGCATTCGCGCTCGGAGGAGGTGGCGAAATTTACCGTGCCGAAGCTTACGAAGAAGTGGTCGAAGATCGTCATTAAGGTTTCCACGACCGACGTCACCTTTTACCTCAATTGCCACGAGATGGCTCGACAGAGGGTCACCAGAATCCCCCAGGAATTAGTATTCGACACCGCCAGCACGCTCTACATCGCGCAAGCCGGACCGCACATCCAGGAACGATACGAGGTGAGTACCATGCACACCTTTCGTCTCCATCGTTTCTGCAAAAAAGAAAAAAAAATGAACCTAATGGACGCCGCGAATGTTTGTGCGTGGCGCAACGAAATGAAACGAGCAGCGATGTTTTCCATGGAAATCGACCTAGCTAAACTTGCAATGAGTATTCGTAACGAAGCAAGGTAAATTAACAGGCTCTCGTGAATTGAAAATGCAATTTTTTCCCCAGTCAACTGGCACAGGACAAACAAACTTGCGTAAACTCGCGATGTTAATGTTGGTGTAAGACATGAATTAATTTCGTTTCGTAATGCCACGCGCAACACAATGTGTTCTCGAACAATATCGTTTTCGTCTCGTTTCAGACACGTCGGCATAAATTGATTATTTCGTTTAGTTGCCAAATTTATTTTTCAAAAATACAAACTCTTTCTGATAATACTCTGAGTGCGCTTAAATTAATTTTATATATTTAGAAATTTAATTCATATTTTTCTTCATACTCTGTAAAATATCTCGGATTAATCCTTGTATCGAGAGACGAAAATGATTCGTTCGGGAATTCATGACGAATTTTTCCTGACACATTTGTTACTTGTTTCACGAGTTTCATCGTATTAAGAGGGTCAGCCATAAACTTCAAAATAAGACGCAAGAACGACCGCGGAATTAAAAGCGGCGAGTCATATAAGATAAATCCGTATTGGTACATCCTTTAAGAATTTAATACCGTATCCGGCACTCGTTTGATAAAATAAGTAAAAAAGAGAGTAAGGTAAAAGGGTAGCACGAAAATGCGGGGAGCGCCATCGGATAGCAGGTTCAGAAAGAGTGGAACGGGTACGAAATATCCCATCGAGATCCTATATTGACGTTATAGATCTTTCGCCTCGGATTCTCACTATTGCTCTCTCAAAGAACACTCGAGTGGCTTGAGAAAGACACCGCACACAATAAAGACCGAAAGATTTTCGTCGTTCGCAATCGTCGACTCAGACAGTACCAATTTGTCTTCAAGATACTTTTGTACTTTATAAATTAAAGATAAATTTTAAAAATTATGCCAAAAGAGTATATTTACTAAAAAACAAGTTTTAAGAAAATGAGGCTTAAATATCAATGCAATATTAATAACGATATTATATTAGTGTTAATTTTACAATACTTACTGTAGTGTAAGTTTTGTACAAAAAAGCGATATATAAATTGGCATTAGATTGATCTTTTAGCATGAATCTTAAAACTTGTCTTTTATAAATATATGTATACATAGACTATAGCATTAAATAAAAAAATAATTGCAAATGAGAATTAATATAATTAATATGACACACTGAAGAAAAAAGTCGTTAACTTGATTAAATTATTCAATTAAATTATTATTTTGTTAATTGAACATAATATACTAGTATTTGAATCAATTTACACACATTATGTTAGATTTAATATGTTGTATTTAATTCAAATAATTCTATATGTTTAATTAATAAAATAGTATTTAATTAAACGATTTAGGTCAGTTAACAAATTTCTTTTTAGCGTATAACACATTTTTTAAAAATATATATACAAGCTGTTTCAAATAAATTTCAGTGATTATTATAATGCATAAATTCCACATAAAATCGCATGTTTTAATTCGTATAAAACTATCAATGTATATGAACATGTATATATCAATTCAAGCAGCATTCTTCAAAGCAATGACGCTTTCATGGTTTATACTTTGTGCCAAAATAATTAACGTCACTCAACGCGAAAGCGTAAAATAGTATTTATGTATCATCCTGGTATCTCCCCTCTCTCTCTCTCTCTCTCTTTAGAATCTCTATATCATATTAATAGCAAGGACAGCGTGATTACATATCACCAATACGAGAGAGGATAATTAGTTCTCATCCTGACGCAATATGACCATCTACACAAGAGCCACGTGTTGCACATCGATGCACGAAATGCATTGATTTACTCGATCCTTCGTTAATTAGTTATCCTCAATAATACACGGACTGTAACATATTGCAATAATTCGAATCAGTTATATGATTCATTGCTTTTATCTTGCGCGATACGGAAATTTCTCTTGCAATAATTAATTTATACGCTATACGTTAATAAAATTGCGCAAAAAAGTTTTTTTATAATTTTATTTTATCAAAATGCAAAATGAGATTTTTACATATTTACTGGCATTTTTCTAATATACTTTAATAAGTCAAACAAGAAGAATTAATTTGTAATTTTAAATTATATATATTTTATATGCTAGCATTTAGTTCATTAATTTAATAACTGCTATTAAATTATTCAATAACTAATATTGCAAAGCCAATAATTATTGATCATCTTAATGATGCAAGAATAACTGCTGTTAAATTATTCAAATGTTAGTATTGTAAAGCCATTAATTATTGTTATCTTAATAATGCAAGATATTTTTTTTTATTTAATTGTATCAAAATGAAAAAGAAGAATATTATTTTATATCCCGGTCTAAAAATTTTATTTGCAAAAGCTATATTATACATATATTGAATAAATATAATTTTGAAATATTCTTACTAAGAACGAATATAAAAATGCTTCGAAAAATTGAAGTTTTAATTTTATTACATATAATATATTTTTTCTCTATACATATAGTATATTTATATGTATATATCTCTATGTACATGTATATTTCTATACATTGTTTTATCATTTTATTTAATCTAACCGAATATAATTACGCGCAAAGCGGAGTTACATTGTTCTTTATAATAAAATCTTAAAAATTGCAACACATACATAAAAATTATTATTGCAATGCATGCATAAAAATATATTAAATTAATTATGCAATGCATAAAAATTCAATATTTAAATTTTTAATAGAAAATGCAGACAAAAAATACAATTTTTAGATTAAATCAAATGAGAAAAATATATATATGTTATAAAAAAATATATCTCTAATAGAATTAATAATTCTATATATAAATATATATAATAAAAAGATATATACATAAAGATATATATAATAATTATGTATATATATAGTAGAGATATATAGATGTATAGAGAAAAAATATATAAAATGTTTATTTATAAAAGATAAATTAAATTAGAGTATATGATAAATAATATATACAGTGATAAACAATTGACATTTGTGGTAACAAAATCACGCTGGTGATCAAATTGGGAACAAAGTTGTAAAAATGGATAATTATTCGATACAACTGCGATTTCCCTCTCTTGCATTTTTAATTATTAAAATCAAAAGCTGTCAATACACCACCGTTATTGGTGAGCGTGCACGTATAAGTGCATTTTGTTATGCATGAAGGTATGCATAATTCGTCACGTGCATATTACTGGCCTGACAACATTTAATGTTTCGCGAGTGCATAGTATCTAAAAAAATATTTGTTATTATTCATACTTGATTTTTTATGTTTTACATTTTTTATTCCTCGCATAGAAATAGGGGAAAAATATGCTAGAGGTAAATAAAAGTATACTTGTGCACATTATGAAAAAAATATAAGAGAAAATATAAAAGCGTAAAAACATCTTTCCCGTTTACATCGCTTTATATATATTTTCAGTTTGCAACTGCCCTCTTATATTTATAATGTAATTAAAACTACACAAAAGTTATCTAAATTTCTTTAATCGTAATAAGAAAAGAAAAATAATCAGACATGAAGGTATGTCCAAATATGCGTATGGAAGAACGTTCACGCGATTCTCAACGATCTGCTTAGCTTTTCTTGCATTTTTGCGCACCAAGGAAACGTCGAAATAGAGTTGCATCGCACTCGAGAGACATTCTTATCGTGCATCCGCTGTCGTTTCAGTCTCACGATGCTGTTTCCCGCACGTTTTTCGTTTGACTTTTTTTCACATCTTCCCGGGATAACAACGAGACGCGGAAAAGTTCCGCAGCCATTCCGATCAGCACGATTCGCAAGTTTTCGCCCCGCGCGGGCTAATCTCTATAAATTGTGTCGTCGACGACGATGCAAGATGCTTTGCAAGGTGGTGATTTTGCAAAGAAAACACACGAATACGAGCTACAATTTTTCCAGATACAGCGTGATATTCATATACTTTATATGGTTGAAGCAATGGCATTTATGTGACTATGTACGACTATGCATACGATTATGTATAAAAATTCGCAACAATTTGCCAAACGGTTTTTATTCTTGAAAAAGCAATGTGCAAATATCGCCGATGAGATTGTCGATTGAAAATTTTTCTTCTTTTTCTCTAAGAATTTTTTCATATCAAGAATTATACATATACTTATTTTTATAAGATGTAAAATCTTGTGTCTAAATCTTATCTTATATCAATTTTACGTATCATATTTTATGTATTATAAATTTTTTTCAAAAATATGATACGTATTTCTAGATTAGATTTAGACATAAGATTTTATGTCTCATAAAAAAATAAGTATATGAATTAATTCTTGGTACACACACACACACACACACACATATATATATATATATATATATATATATATATACTTACTGAAAATAAAAAAATAAATTGTACAAAGCAATCACTGGATTGTAAAATTATTTATGTGGAATTTAGAGCAATGAGTAATTATCTGAAGATATCATGCGTATTAAAAACTGTATTCCTGTAATAATTTTTCATACTTTAATACACATAAATAATGTTATTTTTGACCAATGACCAAATTTAACTTTATATCTGCGGAATTCTCTTATGGTTAGAAATTAAATTGTTTTTGTTCGATTAAATAATTTTGATCATTCAATTTTATAATATTTATAACAAGAAATTTTGTTTATATTTGCGATAATCACATTTCTTCTTTTCGAGAAACATTTATTATTTGCGTCTCATATTAACTCGGTTTCAGTTATCATATCTTGCCAATAAAATTATCATTTTAATATAGAATACGAAAAAAGATTGTACTGTAAGGATATTATATATCAAGATAACTTTTTAGGAGAAAAAAATAAATATTGATTATATAT